TCGGCACTGACAAGCTACATTTAGTATTCAAAGTGGCCGGTGGAGAAATCGTCTTAGTTTTTGACCATTTTGGGCTTGTCGATGGGCCGATTGCACACATAGTGCAGTGCAGCGGAGCTGCCAGCTTGAAGAAAAAAAAAAGCGCAAACTTGAAATTTATTGGTACAGAATGTGAGACTAAAGAAGGTGCCGCACTGAAACAGCCTCTGTCAAATGCTTGCTGCTTACTGGTCACACCGAAATGGAAGTGGATGCACTGGCACAACTGGATATTATGGCATAACACGTGAGATGCGAAGGTGTGCTGTTTTTGCGGCTAATCAGCCGACCAGTGTTAATGCACTGATTGCTATGCATGGAAAAAGCTCGAAATGTCTTTTCGGAGCGTCTTATTTGATGTTACTGTAAAATCAGAATATAATTAGAACTGAGATCATGGGCAGCAGAGGAGCGCTGAAGATAGAAAATTAGTTCCAGGCGCTTGGATAATGAAACAAATTTCCAATTTGTTCGACTGTGCATTTACAAAATTTGTCTGGTATTGGAGTCAATGAAAAGAGACTGATTTCACCGTCTACCTCTCCTGGAAATGAACCTAAAATTGCAAGCGCCTGAGCCTGGAACACAAAAATGCCTGATTTATAACTAAAAACTTTCGACCTAGTGTATAACCAAGTAATCAGATTAAATTTCTAACTTTGACCTTTAAATTTGAATTACTGCAGGTGCACACAGATATAAGCCCACCATAATGTATTCATACCAAAAAACACGTAATAACATCACTGATGAACGATAACAGAACCCATAAAGAAGAGAGGAATGTGTTGTAAATGCAGTCCAATGTAGGCCAGTCTATATTAAAAAAAAAAAAAAAAAAAACGAATATATATGCCATGTTTGTGGCGTATCACAATGTGCGTACGAGATGCTGACGTCTCAGAAATCCTGATGGTACGGCAAATCATGAACAAAACAAAGACAAAGCACAGATGTGTTTACCGCAGTTCACCATGCCAACCGTTTTCGGGGAATGACACAGACAGTACTGAACCACCGAAAAAACGAGTGAGTCGGCGTTTTCCGGATCAGTGCTGGCCGTACCAATAAGTGCATGAAGATGAAAGTGGGAAACGTAACGCCACATCTGAGATCACTTAGAAACAATTCAAGAGCTAGTTTAGGAAAACGTCGGAGACAAGACACGCAAAGCAGAAGTAAACAGCTGATGGAAAGAATAATTACAGTGGAAAAGTGATCGAGACGAGGAAGCGGTTCTGGAGAAAGAGGACTGAATGGTCAGAAAAGATATGAGGCAATCCATTTGTTGTCCAGATGTATCAAGCGCGCTGGATGAGCATTACCAAAACTGTTCGAAGCTACAACCACAATTTCATCAATATCATCGGCACCGGCAATGCGTTTACTAGCTGTCAACACGGAACTTACTTCCCACTTCGTTTCAAATCTTCGTTTCCAGTACACGTGGTAGACGTCAGCACGCGGCGTCAAG